GAAACCACACTCTCAACTCCATCTCACTATCTTCTGCAGTCCTTCTACGACTATTAGTCTTATCTACTTCTGAGCCATACAAAACACATATAGCAGACAACAAACGACGAGACTTTTCCAGATGTGTGGAGCGTTTTGTATCCTGTTTTCCCATTTCTGGTCTTAACATCCCTGGCTCCTTCAGCCTTCACTTAGATGACATGGCTTGTCCCCTACCCTTTACAGTCACATTCTCCAAATCCGTGGGACTTAAGTCTACATGCTTTAAAGAATGTTTCCCAGAGCACACTAATTATAAACACCAACTTTTACTTAGTACTTATGTGCCAGGTTCTGTTTAAAGCACTTGAATTGTATTACTTAAATCTTCAGTAATCTTGTTAGATAGGTCACTGTTATTCTCCATTTTGGAGATGAGGAGACACAGAAGTATCCTGCTCTAAGTCACAATGCTAGGAAGTGAAAGACAGTATTAAAATGCAAGCAGCCAATCTCCAGGGCCCTGCATGGTTAGCCTCTACCCTCTATGCTGCCTCTTGTTGTGCCTACAAGTTTGGTCTCAACTGCTGTGAGTAGGAAGAGACCCTTTCCCTCCTTCCAAATATTAAACAATGATCATATAACGGTCATATCACATATGGGCATTTGGACATTGCTAAATGTGTGCCCAGCACTGATTCCTTTCCTCTTTCTTCTCAAAAGGATCCCAATTTTGTTCATGTATCTATCCTTCCTCCTCCTGAATTAGGGGACGGCAAATTAGTAGTTTCCTCCTCAGTGTCAGGGGTACAGATTGATTGGCCTGAAACCAAAGACATCCATTTGATAACTATTCTTAGTCCAGGGATGAACTCGTGCTGAAGTTGACCCAAAGAGAACCAAAGGAACACTGACAATTTTCAGAGGGATTCATACCCATGTATTAGTCAGCTTGGACTGCTTTAACAAAATACCACAGACTGATGGCTTAAGCAACAGTTTATTTTGTCACAGTCCTGGAGGCTGGCAAGTCAGTTCCTGGTGGTTTGCAGGATGGCCACGTTCTGGCTGTTTTCACATGCCGAATGACATCATTTAGCCTAAATTACTTTCTTATTCCAAATGCAATCACATTAGGAATTAGGGCTTCAACATATGAATTTATGGGGGACACAATTCAGTCCATAGCATCCTGTAATGTTCTATGAGGTAAGCAAGGGGTCAAATGTGTGTGCCTTCTACTCCTGCATTCTCTGAGAAGGAATCTCAGTCCCAGACTCTTGCTCTCTAATTTCACTGAATAGAAGCAATTAACTAGGCTCCAAGACAGAGGAAGAAAGAGGACCTGGTATGTGAAAAGTCACTGACAGGTGGGGAGAGGTAAGAAAGTCTGAGAGAAGCACCCCAGGCAAGGCAGATTCAATTTAGATAGGCAACTTAGAGAAAAACCTTGCCCCTGCCCCAAGAAGCCAATGCATCTAGCACCAAGACCTCCTTCCCAGTAAGTCTATACTGTCCATGCTTTCAACCATTAATGGTAAAACCAGGGCAGGATGCCTTTTTAAACTGCACTCTGAATGTCAGAAATATACTGATTTCAGAAATGACAAAAGTACATTTTTTAACCACAGAAATGGGGTATTTCCAATCCCAGCTTTCGCTCAGTAAAGCCTTTCATATTACCCTGCCATGGGCTATTTGTTTCCCTCAAATTCTTATGTTGAAGCCTTAACCTCCAGAACCTCAAAATGTGACTATATATGAAAAAAGGGCCGCAGAATTAATTAAAATGAGGCAGTTAGGAATCAGATGACTGGTGTTTTTTGTTTTTGAAATCGAGTTTTGCTCTTGCCGCCCAGGCTGGAATGCAATGGCGCACTCTCAGCTCACTGCAACCTCTGCCTCCCGGGTTCAAGCGATTCTCCTGCCTCAGCCTTCCAAGTACTGGGACTACAGGCGTGCGCCACCACACCCAGCAAATTTTTGTATTTTTAGTAGAGATGAAGTTTCACTATGTTGGCCAGGCTGGTCTCAAACTCAACCTCAAGTGATCTGCCCTCCTCGGCCTCCCCAAAATGCTGGGATTACAGGCGTGAGCCACTGCACCTGGTCTTATTTGTTTTTGAGATGGAGTCTTGCTCTACTGCCCAGGCTGGAAGCAGTGGTGTGATCTCGACTCATTGCAACCTCACCCTCCCCAGGTTCAAGCGATTCTCCTGCCTTAGCCTCCCAAGTAGCTGGGACCACAGGCGCAAGCTACCACTCCTGGCTACTTTTTATAATTTTAGTAAAGATGGGGTTTCACCATGTTGGTCCGGCTGGTCTCAAACTCCTGACCTCAAGTGATCCTCCTGTTTCAGCCTCCCAAAGTGCTGGGATTACAGGTGTGGGCCACTGTGCCAAGCCTGACTGGTGTTCATAGAAGAGATTAGAGACACAGACAAAATAGAGAGGGAAGACCCTGTAGACGCAGGGAGAAAGTGACCATCTACAAGCCAAGGAAAGTCTTCAGAAGAAACCAACCCTGCTGACACCTCGATCTTGAATATCCAGACTCCAGAACTGTAAGGAAAGGACTCTTTTGTTTAAACCACTCCATCTGTGCTACAATGCTCTAAAGCGCAAGCAGAGTAACACAGGCTCCAGCCTGAAATGCTCTCTCCCCTCCCTTCTCTCAGCTACCAATGGAACTTCATTTGGCATTTAATCGAGCACCGCTTTGTGTTATCTCGCCCACTACTCTCTCACACAGTAAAACTGCTTACTACTTTTTTCCCATCCATCTTTTCTCCTGTTTCCCCAAGCAGGTCCTTCACAAAGTCTATGAGTACAGGCTTTGTCTTACAAAATATATACCTCGGAATCTTTCGATGGCTCAGCCCTTCAGACAGAAGCCACCTACTGCCAGGCCATGGGATGTGCTGGGAGCCAGCCAAAAAGGTCTGCTAAAGTCACAAAACTGGAGAAAAGTATGTGAAAGAGGGTGGGGATGGACAAGAGGAAAGAAGGCTAAGCATAAGAGAGGGCCAGACACAAAGGGTAAAGCAGCAAGCAAGTCAGCATAGTGAAAGCAATGACAGAGCAGGTGCAGGCAGTCTAGGGCCTGGTGTGGTACAAATCTCAAAGACAGGGGCTTCCAGTTGTCACTGGTAAACTCAGCTCTTTCCCCACTTTGTATCAATTTACACAGAGACCATCCAATTGTAAACGGTAACCGGGTTTCGGTCGCTGGCCAGGGAATGAACTCTCACACTAAATGCCTCTTCTCCCCAAACACTAGAAGACATGGGGTTTTTAGGACTAGGTGTGGGACAGGAGAGGAATATTAGCATGTGCGAAGTGAGACTCTAAATGTGCACGCACAATTCCTAAACATACATCTTCATACATCACATGTACCCAAAATGGTGGAGATTTTCTTTCAGGGAGGGAATTTTAGCATTGCAATGACATGATAATGATCTGAAGTCAACTAGGGCTTGCCTATCCTGCTCTACTCTGCAGTCTTATCTAATTCTGGTATCTGATCACGGGTCAAGAAGCTCTGGCACTATCCTGGGGCAATCTGGTTTCTTTAAGCAGCTGTGCCCATGAAGGGACCAAAGAAAAATAGTAAGAAAAAGGAGCTTTCCCAGTTATTTCATCAGTACCCTTCCCCACCTCTCCAGTTCCATCCTAGGAGGTCAGTTAGCTCCAAGATGTGAATCACTTCTGCCTGCACTGATTTCTCCCTCCTCGGAACGCAGAACAATTTTTGCCTCTGTCATCATTGGCAGGTGATGTCTCTTGATGGTTTTATTATTATTATTATTTTTTTTTTTGAGACGGAGTTTCGCTCTTGTTACCCAGGCTGGAGGGCAATGGCACAATCTCGGCTCACCGCAACCTCCGCCTTCTGGGTTCAGGCAATTCTCCTG